CACAAAGCACAAACAGATTAAGATGCAAAGTATCATTAATTGAAGGTCAGAGTGTTGTAGAGACAAATTCACTCTTTATAATTATTCTTCCATCAGAAGTGACTATAAGGCAGAGCAATTTGAGTTCGCTGTTGGTTCTTGTATATAATTATCACGACTGATTATGAAATAAAGCTGGATTTCTGCATGATGCAAGAAAATTTATTGCAGCATATCTGAAAGTAGCTCAAGCAAATCTGCAGGTTTGTGATTTCCAGCACAGATAATCCCTGCTTGACTTAAATATAATCAAAATTGGTATTCAAAGTTTTTGTTTCACACCAGTTGATCTTTTATGAATGCAAGAATAGCAATAACCATGTATAATGACAATGGCTATCAGGTAAATGGCTGTTGTCTTGATTAGAGGAGAGTATTCTAATTCTTCCATGGGTTGAAATTGAATACTTACATTTTTGTATGAAAACGTTCTTCAGATTAAAGTGCAAAGGGGAAAAGAATAAAACTGTGTCTGGATGGGTAGAGAGAAGACTGTAACAGAATCTGACTGAAAATGTCTTGTCTCCCGCCAAAAAAAGTGGTTTGGCCCATTAATGAGGTCAAAATCTATACTCCACCCCTTTGGTTAATACCAGTATCCGTGTGGAATTCCTGACCCAATCCTTTTGTCTCCTAGCACTGGTCCCCCATGTGAACACCCACTCCTGTTGTATCTTTGGAGTAGAGCACTAACTGGCTCACTGACTTAATTCTTTTTCATTTAGATTGTAAAATTTAATGTGCAGACAAAGGAAACGCTCCACTGGAGAGAAGACCATTGCTGGCCATCTGAGCCCATTTTTGTTCCCAAACCCGATGCAAAAGAAGAAGATGATGGTAAAGAAAAATGACAACATTCCAGAAGTTGTCTACATTTGGCTACATTTAATGTTACATTATATCTTAAGAGCTTTGTTGTTTTCAATTACAACAAAAAAGTCCATTCAGTGATTGATGTTTCAACAGAAAGATTAAAATTAGCATGAACCATTTACTCCTGCAGCCGAAAGGCAATGCAGGAGTAGACCAAAATCAACCATAAACAATAAACCCAACACTGCTCAGGACACTCCAGAGAGTCACTTGAGGCTCGTATTTATGAAGAGCTCAGAGCAGCTGGGGCTCTAGGAAGGCAGATCAGAACATGAAGCAGCACTGCAAGCATCCCATTCGTCTCCATCCAGGTCTGTTCCAGGGCAACTCCCTGCAATAGCTGGAGGGATCTGCCCCAGACTTCACTGCTCAGTTGCCCTGCAAGATTGCCAGGGACACAACTCAGGATTTGGTTGCTTCTTTCCTTCTTAATAAATAGCAGACAGACCAGGAAAGGGCATAGAAAAGAACCACTCATTAGTTCTTTTGAACTCAGTTAGGCTTCATTTAGTAGCACTTTGAGTTTGTATCCTAAACTTAGAAAGTGAGATTTTTTTCCAGGTATTGTTATCTTTTCTGCTTGATTTACCTTGTATATCCTTCTAATTCTTCATTTATATGACACAGGTGTTGTTTTGACCTGTATTGTGATGACTGATCCAAACAAAGCACCTTTCCTACTTGCCTTGGATGCTAAAACATTCAAAGAATTGGGCCGAGCCACAGTAAATGTAGAACTGCACCTGGACCTGCATGGAATCTTTATACCGGAGAAAGATGTGAAGACTGAACCTGAGTAAAATGCTATTTAGCTGACATAGACTGAGACCACTTTTTTACTGAATGTGAAGTTATGTCCCTCTCACCATTCAGGACAACCTTATCTACTGACAAGAAATTACTCTATATGATCTCTTAGGAACTATATATAATATCTTATAAGAGATAGCAATACTGTCTATTACAAGTAGTGATATGCACAATTGGTACATAACTATTACAAAAGAATCATCTGTATTAAAAAAAATCTAATGTATCCAATTTGTGGCACAGGGAACAAATTATTGCATTTATAATAGGATACATGGCATGAGTCATGTTGTCTACGGCTCATATAATTTTTTTTTGGATTGTTTCAAGACTACAGATCCTAATGAAGGTTCTCCCCTGACAGAAAACCTCAAAGAAAACTATCTGCTATGATACTATGGCAATGCATTTTGTTGGTGCTTGATTTCTTAAACTCCGCTATAACCAAAGTTAAGTATTATATTGAGGTGCTATATCAATTTACAGCTTAAAAAAATCTTCTTTGCTAATAGTTTTATGGTATATGTATATTTTTCCTTTTTATGATGACAAAAATAAATAACTTGAAATATGGCTTTATGTAGCATTCAGTTACACGTTAGCAGTATTCAATCCTAATGTTATAAACAGTTTATATTTAAATCAGTTTTATTTTCCTATTTCAGATACTTTTACTGCTGAAGAAAACTAGCTATACATCTACCCATGCAGGGTGTTCATTTGATCTGTATGTATCACATCACAAAATTTGGATATCTTTAATTCTCCAGTATATCCATCATCCCAGCATCTCTGGTACTCACTCTCTTTGACAGGCAGGAGAAAGAATGAAATCATTGTCATTTACTGGCTCCCCATGAGATGAGACCCTGGCCTCTACTGACTTCACAATTGAGTAAGATAATTATGGCAGAGCAGAGATTGCACCAGCATCTCCCACAGTTCTTGCTCTGTGACAACTGTACTTCCTTTCTCTGCCTGTATCTTTATAGTTTGTAAGTATAAAGAATATACAGAATACTTTAATGTAGGAAGTTTCTGAACATAGAAGCTAGAGTTTAAGTATGCAGCTTTGGGCATTCATATATTTGTGTATTCCATAAACTGGAAATAAACCCTGCAACAAGATGTGTCTGCTGAAATAGTCATCTTTGATGTTTTCAAGGCCTATTGCCACTACTATTAAAGATAGCTTTATCATCTAAAAATTAAATTTCTGTTTAGTATAATATGGAAGCAGGGCTAACATGGAAGGATGATTTCTGACATTGGGAAAGTAGCACTTAACACTTAAAGAACATCAGCTGTGGGGCTGTTTTTTTTATGATCTACAAAAGTTTATATTTTTAAAGCTGCTGTGAACATTTCTGGAATTATATGGCACTCATAAATCAAATGTCTGGCCATTGTTACAGACATCCTTTTAAGAGTTCATCTACAATTTCATCTGTAGAATTCATTGTTTTATTTTTTTGGATGATAATGAGTTTGGATACAGGAGATACTTGGCTTCTGAGGACTGAATTCACACTGGGCAGAAACTACATAATATGGGAACATCCATCATAAAAATAAGTCAGATTTGTTATCTAATATCTAAGGAAGCAAATATATATTATGTTCATTTAGAAAGAATACAAAAAATAAACCATAAGAGCTTGTTTGATGCATGATGTTGATACAACATTGAGGTGTGATAGCAGTTGCAATAGTAGCCTGATGGAACATTTAAGGTGAAGATGGTAACAGGCACTATCATTCCCAGGCTGGCAGTTCCCAAGGGGAATGCCTCCTGGTTTTGCTGAATGGCTTCAAGGCCTGTGGTTTTTTTCTGTTTTAGCAACATGACAGATGGTAGCGAGTCTGTCATCTGTTGTGATTCCCTAACTGTGGACAAAATCTTGAGGGACAGTAGAGCTTCAGTCTTTTGCACCAATTACAGTCATAAATTTGCACCATAAACCATTGGAGTTATTGTAATGGCACAGAAAAGAATCTGGACACAGTGACTGCAAATAAAAATAGTATGTGCCTTGCACAAATATAAAACAAAACAGGAAATTGTTGAGCAAAAGAATCAGGCCGTAGCTGCACGTACATATAATTACCTCAGAGATGTTACAAATGGCCCTGTAGTTGTTACCAATGTTTTTCTTTTCATCAACAGGTTTCATTAAATGGCGCAAATAACAAAACATAATAAGTAGTTTGTTCTGTCAAAGTGGATATTATCTGTCTCATTGCCCTGTCTCATTGCCCCACATACTCAGCAGGAGCAGAATCAATTAATATGACCTACTTCCTAAATATATATACGCTTATAGAATAATAATAGAGAGGGAAAAGAAAGAGGAGAGAGAAATACCAGTGTACTTTCCTACATAATAATCCATGCAGGAGCCACGGGAACAAGCCAGTGTTTTTCTTTTTAAATAACCAGGCTGCTCAATGGCGGCTTTCACAAGGGCTTAAACCTCAGCTCCCCTGAGTATGCAATTAGCAGAGTATTAGTAACGACAGGCGCGCAGCATACAGGGTTTGCCAGGATGCGGGATCTCTTCCGCGCTCCCTCGCCGGGCCCTGCCTGCGCGGGAGGTGGGAAGGGAAACTTTCCATGGAAGGCTGTCCATGGAAATTTTCCGTGGAAGGCTGGGCACGAGGGCGGTTTTTAGGCTAGCGATGCTGCTCCCGGCACCTTCGGCACTGCTTGCCTCGGCACATGGGAAAGCGGGTGATAATGCGGCTGGGGAAGCACTTCCATTGGCACGATTCCCAGGTTCCCTCCTCAGGTACAGGATGCTTGTAGGGAGGGAGCAGATGGAATCACGGCAACTCCTGATGTGCCATGAAGAGCAGTAAATATGTGGCCCCAAACCTCGGGAACAGTCCCTCTTTAAGGCATTTTTTCCCCTAAAAGGGGCACTGCGTGGCCAGACCTCCATTTATTCCCATTCACTTCCCATTCACTTTTGATTTTTTAATATAAATTAAAAATGTATATTTTTATAATATAAATTATAAAAGGGTCTCTAGCACCCTTGTGTCCAGTGGTGGGGGGAGAAAGTGATTTAAATGATGATATTTTGAGGGGGAGAAAAAGGTTTATGCGGTGATAGTGATAAAACATGTCACGTGTCCCCCCCGCCGTCCGCGCCCTCATGGACCCCCCTCCATGGCAACCGGCCCGCCCCCGGGGCGGGGCGCGCGCGCGGCGCGGGGTGATGACGTGCGCGCGGCCATGGTGCGCGCGCGCTGAGCGGCGCGGCGGCGGTCGCAGCATGTCGGGTCCGAGCGCCGTGTCGGACCCGCAGCACCCGGCGCGGCTGCTGCGCGCGCTCAGCTCCTTCCGCGAGGAGAGCCGCTTCTGCGACGCGCACCTCGTGCTCGAGGGCGAGGAGATCCCCGTGCAGAAGAACATCCTGGCGGCCGCCAGCCCCTACATCAGGTGCGGCAGCGCGGAGCGGCGCGGAGCAGGCCGCGCTCCCCGGGCGGGGGGGGGCTCCCCTTTTTGGGGTGTTTCCAGCCGTGCCCGGGGCAGCGCGGACGGGCTGCTGGCCTCCCCTGCGAAGTTTAACCCCCCTGGCTTCGTCCCCTCTCCTTTTCTGTCGCGCCTGCTAAACCTCGGTTCTGGGGGGCCTTCCTGCACCCGGAGCTCGGCTCCGTTTCCCTGTCCGCGCTGGCTGCTGCGCCCGCTGTCCGGGCCGCGGTCCAGGGAAACCTCCTCCCGAGAGGTCCCGCACGCCGCGAGCGGGAGCGAGGGCTCTGCCGGCCTGAAGAGGGAAAGCGCCTCCCTGGGGCAGGTTTCATAGGGCCTGTTCACCTGTCTGTGGGGTAAATAAAGGTAGTCACTGAAATAAGGGCAGCGGGCTTGTGCAAAATGATGCCGGGAAGCTGAAATGCCGGTAGTCGTTTTTTTCAGTTCCTGTCTTGGGATGTGATTGTGGTGAAAGGCCACCCAGAGACACGAGGTGGAAATAAATCTGGTCAGCGGATCCAATGCTCTTCAGAATGCCCGGGCGTTCTTTAGCTTGTTGCTCATCATGATGTAGTCTTTAGATGGCCCTGTGTCAGATCTGAAATGAGTGTCCTCACACAGACTCCTTGGATGAGAGGAAAGGTTTGGGATAGATGGAAAGGGCCATATTCTTGGAAGAACTGCCCCTCTGCTTCTTTTATCGTATCTGTTTACGTGAGCTCTGCCGCCTTTTGCTGTGAAAAGGCTGCTTAATTAGAAGATACCATAAATTATTTTACAGAAAAGATCTTATTCACAAATTTTCATCTTTAAGTGTGGCCTTTTGTCATTCACCTCTTAAAAATGTTCTGCGATGCATGAGCTGACAAAGCCTACGTGAAGAGTCAGAGCAGACACAATTACATTAACAACAACAAAACACTCATTAGAGTTGTGGTTGTTTTAAACTTAAAATTGTTTGGGTTCAGATCCCATCAAGGAACTCATTAGCTATGTATAAATGTAGGTTACATGTATTTATATATAAATACCTATTTTTTCAGGCTTACTCATCTCTTCTGCTTGTGCTCGCAACAGGTAGTGAGCCATAAATATCACATACCAAGCTTTTACGTGGCATGTTAAGCAACACATCCGTCTTGCCTGCTTCTGCAGAGCCCAGGTTTTACATACACTGCTTGTATCTCCCTTTGTTCTCCTGCTCTGGGTCTTTCTTAAGCCACCTGCTCTTATTATTGGACAGAAATGGTCAAGTAGGGTGCGCATATGGGAGCTGAGAGTTTCTAACCCCAAATTAACATTCCTGTGGCTCTCTTTAAAGACACAAATCACTCTTTAGCCTGTTCTTAATTTCTGCAAATACTTGGTGCCATTTAACATTTTAAAAAAAAAAAACATTTTTAGGGCATTTTTAATAAAATACCTGATGTCATTTTTATGTAAAAAGCCACTAGGAGTAAACTCCTGTGATTTTTATGTAAAAAGTTACAAGATATCTGTGAATTATGCATTAGTGTATTTGATGGCTAGGTGATTTCAAAGCATGCTTTGGTACTGGAGTCTGTTTAAGTCTTCAATTGTTAATTAATTTAGATTGCTTTCATTTGAAAATCCAAATGTAAAGCTCAGAAAATGTAGTAACTAATTTTGGAGATAGGATCGTGTAGAAGAACGAGTGGGAATGGGAGGTGCAGCTGGCAGCGGTGGGATTAGCTGCCTCTGCCTTCCCTTTCTGGCTACGTTTCTGTGCTCCGACTAGGGGCAAGGTGGAGGGCAAGCGGGGAAGCTGTGAAGGGTTCACACAAACACCTCATTTAGGGTGTGAGTGGGAAAATAGGAAGCATGGGATTTTCTGAGGGGGCGGCTTGGGTGTGAGCAGCATCTGGGTGCTGAAGGATTTGTGGAGCCGCGGCGAGAGGAGCGCTACCTGTTTTTAGTTTTGCATGGAGGTGTTTTGGCTGACTAGTGAGTGGGACACCTGTAAATTACCGTGATGTGGCTTCCCTCTGGTTATTTGGCAAGTGGATTATCCACGGAGCTCGAAAATGGCAGTGGAGGGAAGAGGAGGGTGGGCGTGAAGACGAAGCAGCAGCGTGCAGCAGTCTTGCCAGTGTTGCGGGTCCCATCTGTCTGTCTTCTCCCTAGGCTAGTTCTGAAAATACAGGAAAAAAAAATGCTGGATTTATGGAGGAAAAAAAGAAAATTGTCTGTGGTACCAGCAAGACTTTAATTTTTGTGGTAGTTTGATTGAGGTCTTCCTCAGCTGCTTAAAGCTGAGTCGCTCGCAGCTCCGAGGACAGTGATCTCTTGGGCTCTGTGTGAATTCCCACAGAGAAGCCCTCACATCCAGGGCAAATCTCATGCTTCCACGTGCCCCCGGAGCAAATCCTGCTGCCTGCAGAAACCAGGAGTCTCTGTGCATATCTCTAACATCTTGTGGTCTACTCCCGAGCCTGAGAAAAGGAGAATCCCAAATGAAGACGCTGCCCTCAGACAAGCTTGGTTTGGCTGTGCGGCCCAGAGAAGTTGAGCTGGAGCTGGGCTGGCCTGTGTCTTTCTTGTGCTGTAACAGATCAGCCAGAATCTGCACTTTTTCCCCCTAAACACAGTTTTTGTCCTGCGATATCCCTCATACCGACAAAACTCTACTACCAGAGTTGTGCTGGTTTTCACTTATTTCATTTCTGAACCTGGTATGAATTATACAGGCCGAAGGGAGCCTTTGGCAGGATAAACTGTGTTTACACTGGGAAGTTTGGCATAGGTAGTAGCCTATATCCACAAACCTTTTATAGGATAGGCTTAGTGCAAGTATTCCTGGTATCCTCAGCAGTAGGAGCAAATGTTGCTGTCTAGCACGAGTAGTTTGCAGCCAAGTGAAGTTTGCAGCTCTTAAGATTTTGCTCTTAATAATTTGCTGGCGTGCTGTGTACCAGCCTGCGTAGCAGGGTGCACAGAAAAACTGTTTTAACATGGAGAATGTTTGAACTCAGATTCTCAGGCAAGCAACGTTACGCAGTGATTGTTCAGTTCATCTGCCCACAGCTCTGTATTTAAAATCAAATGTAGTTTTTTTGCTATCTTGGCATGTTTTATTATCACACATATGTATGAACAGATTGCAGATGGATATATGTATGCAATACTGTTCTACAAAGCGCTCTCAACTTAGTTAAGGATCTACCACCATATTTTCATCTTTCTTTTGCTGTGATGGCTCTATTATGCTACCTGGAAAATGCAAAATAAGTTCATATTACTTTCCATTTACTTAAAAATCACTTTGCTCTTTTCTAAATTGATATTAGTGAGAAGCAACGTGGTTGCAGTTACGTGTCCTTAGTTGTTCAGTTCAGCCTTTGATGTCCCTTGAACCTCGCAGAGCAGCTGACACTGCAAGACCCTTGCACAGCCAGAGGAGTTTCCCTTGCTGATGCTCAGCCTGTTTCCATGGTTCCTGCTTGGAAACGCTGGATCTGTGTTTCTTTCCAGCAAGCAGTATTTCCGTGCTGTGTTTTGAGTTGTCACAAAGTCTGTGTGAAGGGAGACACTGAAACTTCTTTGTTGTGTGAATTTACATGAGTGAGACCCTGCCGACCCTGGTGAGACGTGTGGGATGTGCCTGGGATGTAACATGTGCTCTGCAGCTTCCTGGGAGAGCGGCCTGGGCTGTGGGGCTGTTTTTGTCCCACAACAGTCCCGTTTGATGGGTAGCAGCAACATGAGGTAGAAGCCAACACGTAGCAGTCACTTCTCCTGCTGATTTCCTGCTAGCCTGTTCAGTTTACGCTGACATTTATAAAAAGATAAAAGCAGTGTTCCAGAGTGCAATCTATTTGTGGCTAACACCGAAATCACAACTTGACTGCTGTTAAAGTCAGGAGGTGCTTTGGTACTGGGGACCTTGTTTTCTCAAGTGAACTGTTCTGAGCTGATGTCAGGTCCAAGGCTGGTGCCTTCCCTCCGTTTCCACCAGCACTTTTTGCGTGGCCCCAGCACGGGAGGCAGCCCGGCTGCCTCGCCGGGGAGAGGACGGCGAGGCCCAATCCAGCTGGGCCACTCCGTGCTTCCGACGGGAGAAGAGGACGTGGTCGGGCTGCGCGCGCAGAGAGACGGAGCTGAAACATCCGGAGCCGCCGCGCTGCGTACGTGCGAGCGTGGAGCCCGCTGGGCTGGGGAGAGGTGCCGGGGTGCGGGTGGTTGGCATGTCTGGCTAATTGACACTCTCTAGGTAGCCTTTACACCTTGCTCATTGCCTCGACTGGTGCAATCTTTATTATTAAGAAGACATGTTTATTAATCATTTTTCTTGCATGCTTGAGAGTGGTTTTGTGGCTGGAAGAGGGCTGTTCTGGAGGTGCTGATTTGTCTGGGGAAAGGAATGCGGAGCTGAGCGCCCTGCACGTTTGCTTGGTTCAATCTCTTCTGCTTGCCTTGGTCCTGGTGCAAATGAGGACCTGCAGCGAGAGAATTACTGAGGCTGTGTGAGACTGTATTTGATGGTCCTGGAGAATTCATCTCTTCTTGGTGCTCTGCTCGTTTGGTGGTAGGAAGGTGTCTCCCCCTGCGTGCTTCCATGCTGCAGCCTGGGTTCTCTCTCCTCTATCTGGTCTTTGTTGCTGCTTAATATAGCAGAGAAAAGGAACCAAAAAAATTGCTGTTATTGACAGCTCTGAAATTATTTGTTGCCTGTTAAGGAAGTAAGTTCCTAATGCCAGATACTTAGTGACTGTTTTGTGTCCTGAGATGTATTGGTTTGTATCACCTGAGCAACTTTGAGCTGCCTCATACAACTGTTGTTGTTGTTATGAACATTTTTAGTACTCTGAATTGTAGACTCTTGGCTCATTTCTTGTGCCAGTGAAATCCATACTTCTGTTTCCTTTTTCTTTTGGCTCTGCCATTGCTTTTCCCTGCGGTGTGGCAGACCTCAGTTTCCCAGCTCCCAGTGTATTTACCTTGGTGCGTTC